AAAAATATTCCACAATGTTATATAGATTTAATGAAAAAATGTTGGGATATAAATCCATTAAAAAGACCAACTGCATTGGAAATTAAAAAGACTATTGAAAATTGGAAAAACAATATTATTACTAATAATTTTAATCAAGAATTAAAGGAAGATATTATAAAGTTTTATAAAGCAGATAAAATATTATATCAAAAGCAAAATATTATTAATATTGATAATATTACTAAATCTCATCCAAAAGCATATCATACAAGTCGTTTACTTAATTTTACTGATAATTTAAATAAAATTTTAAATCAGAATGATACTATAATAGATATTAGTCAAAATCTTGGTAATTATATTAATCTTTATGAATTTAAAAATTTTAAATAATTTTAATTTTTTATACTAATATTTATTTTAATTTATAAAGAAATTAATTATTAAAGATAAATAATAGTATTTTTAATTTAATATATATAATAATATTTAACAAATTTTAAAAATAATTAAAATATTATATTTAATTTTTATATATGCAAATTTATTTATTATTAAATTTTTATTCTATAAATATTTATTCAATGAATATTACTATATATAAGGGAAATTTTATATTACAAATAGTAGTTTGTAATTATTAAATAAACAAATTATTTTTTACTATTATAATAAATATTTAAATATTTATTAAATCTTTTTATTTTGTTATAAAATGTAATAATTTGAATTTGAGTAATTGATAATTAAAAAACATTAATTTTTTACCAATAAAAAATTATACAAAATATATAATAAATTATATCAATTAATAAGATGATTTATAAAGAAAGTGCATTTTTAGCTCAGTAGTTAAATTGCGAGATTCTATAAGCTAAAGTATTAGTTTAGATAGATTAGTTATATTTATTACATTTATTATATTTATTATATTTATCATATTTTATTTACTATTATTTTATTTTGTATAAATACTCTGTATCTTTGACCTGCTAAATGACAGAGTCGCTACAATTCTCTAATAAATAAATACTTTATCCCTAAAACTTATAATTGCTCATTGAATAATTCATGCGCTCTGTAATAGACCTTAGGGGGAAGAATTATTCTAATCTAAAAATATAAAGCAGAACGAGCTTCTTTTATAACAATAAATTATAATGACGGAATATGTCGTCATATGGCGTAGCTATTGACGCTTGAATATTGTTAATTTTTCGGGTGACTTTCGTCACCCGATTAACCTATACAAATGTAAATTTTCTATGTTTAAACATCTCTTTACGGAAAGAAAACTCCAAAATAATCACCATACTGGAAGGCGGAATTCATGTTCAGAATGAAACCCAAATGTTAAATAATGGAACTGAATTGCAATGTTTGTGAATTATCGTTTCCAAAATAAAAGTTATATCCTACCTCCAATTTGTGTCAACACAGAAATGATTGCCTGAATTTAAGATTAATTGTAATTTAATATATTTCTTCAAGAATTTACTCCTAAACTTTAATAACTATACTTTTTACCTTTTGAATGTTAGATAACAACTGATTAAAGTCTTTGATATTATTAAAATCAGGCTTTAGGTATCAATGTCAAAATTTCTACTTTGCTTGAAATTAATAAAAATTAAATATTTAAAAGTGGCATCTCTTCATTCAGAAGTATTTTTTTGCAATACCTATTCTTTGCGAAAATTAAGATAACTAAGAATATTTTAAAAATAATTGAATCTAAAAATTAATGAGTGCGTATTCAACCAAAAAAAAGATTTATTTTGATTATAGTATAAATTATCTCGTTTGACAATATAATGGACTTCAATATTTATTTCACCCCTACAGGTGATGTCGCAAAAGTAATTTTAAATAGTATTAAACCTTTTAAAGGTTTAAAAGAATACTCGCAAATTTGAACTACATACCTTTTCTTTTATACAAAGCTCTTTAGCGTAGAAAATAAACTAAAAAGAACATTACAGATGAATTAAAAGTATTGTCGGATTCGAACTTCTTTAGCAAGAAACTAGCAAATTATAGTCTGATTAAACTAAATACAAAATTAGAATTACAGAAAATTTCACGCTGAAAAACTTTGATTCATGAACAATTAGAAATTTTGATATTAATGATGTGATTTAAACTTGTTTAAAAAGCTTGAATATGCATTTTCCTTTATTTATCTGAAAACTTTGGTCGATTTAAAAATAAAATAATAATTTTATGAATGGAGTCGTTACGGTGCTTTAGGACGTTTTTTAATGTTTGACCCACGACATTAGGATTTGTAAATTGAATGAGTAGTCATTACCATCCCTATCAAGGATGAAAAGTTAAAATTTTATTAAATTTAATTTTAAGTTTATAAATTTACTCCATGATTTAATAATTATAATCGTGCGTAAAACAGTATTACATGATGTCAGACCATCGCGAAATGTTCAATTAAATAAATTATCAAATTTTTTTAGCCGAAGTAGTGGGATTCTAACAACTTTATTCCGGTGAAACTTACTTTTGCAAATTAATTAAATTTTAAAAAATTTTTTTGTTAATGTATTAATACAATTATGGTTGCTAATTTCAAATAAGAGTCGATTGAAATTACCCAAGCTATTCTCATATATAATCATTATAAATTATCATGGTAACAATAATAATGAAAAATAAAGAATAATAATTTTTATTTAGCTTATTCTTAAAAATGAGACTTTTTTCAAAATTTTGTAAACGCTATAAGCCTCCTAATGACAAAATGTATATCCAAATATACTATCCTCATAATCCTCATAAATGGCTTATGGTCTAAAACTCCTTGGCGAAACTATGTAAAAAATTTCCAAAATTAAACTCAACTAACTATTCTCTTTTAGTGTTTTCGTAACATTTAGAACCGATTACATCCTCAAGAAACAAAGAAATCTTTAACATCATATTTATTAGATAGTAAAGGAGAGATTTGAAAAAAGTAAATTGTTGTAATATCGTTGCTACTTCGAATATAAAGATTTCGATAAAGGTTTGATTAATCGTTTTTTAATAAGAAATCAAATTTATTCATTACAATAATCAATTTATTTTTAAATCTGAATTGACTTCTCCGATTAAGACTATTTTGGTTAACACATTCCATTTTTTTTACATACTGTCATAGTTGAATTCAGTTTTTAAATTGAAAAAAAGATAAATTCATGAAATTGAGAAATGAGATTTAATTGGAATTGTTCGTTTCATAAACCATGAACGATAATTCATTCGCTAGAAGCTTCGCCATTTTATTCAAAAAAGAAAAACCAAATGAATTTCATAATATCTTTTTAAATGAAAAACAAATAATTTAATTTAATGTGTAAATTGAGAGTAAACTGTCAAGATAAAATCATTCATTTTGCCATAAACAGATGTTTAAAATTCTTTTAGAAATAACAAATAGTTCACATTAACTTATAATTATTTGAATTCACAATATAAAAGTTCTTTTTTTAGCTCACGGTATAATTACATTACCTGTAAAATGCATTAGTCATCATCTATTATTTGTTCTGTAAATTTTTATTTACAAATCCGTCATAGAAACGGGATCGTAAGTGACACGGCAGATCCATATCAGGATAACAAAATGCTATTAATAGGATTTGAAACGTTGCGTTCTCAGATCATTCGAATTTGAAACAAAACAATAAAATTTTTTCATTATGTATGAATAGGAAGGATTACCTTCAGTTAAGACAAATTTCTAAAAATATTCCTAAAGTAGAGTACATATATGAAAAATTAGACCCATTAATTCCTAAAGTATTTAATAATGAATGATTGAAAGACTGGTCCTATTAATCAGTCTAAGATCGGGACTGATCAAACCCTATTTAAAACCTTTTTTGGCGTTCAAAGTAAACTTGAAAAGCAGACAAAATTACTATATATGATAATAAATTTAAGTTAGTAATAATCATACAAAAACTTAATTGATTAATTCAGTTGATTTTCTAGTTCAGATATTGTAGGAAAAATGTGCTAATAAATGTGAACATACAGGTACTTGGGTTATTTCACGTTTTGGCTCCAAATATTATAGCTTTTTTTGGCATAAAACTTTATGGGATTTTTTCATTGGTATTGCGCCTCAAATTTTTTACCATGTTGCCTGAAGCTAACAAAATAAACATTAATAAAAATCGTTTCCAAAATGAACATTAATAACAATCCGAACTTACCCATAATCCTGAAAGGTCGGAAACCATATATAGAATTTTGTTGCTACCTAAATAAAAGAACTGAAAGAAGTAATATCAACTTTCAGCATATTTCGCATTAAAGCATTAATTTTTGTAGATGATTTATATTATATTGATTTTAAATTCATAAAAATAACTATTGGACATATATAAAACAAGTTTATTAGCTTTTTAATTTTATACAAATGAATAAATACACATTAATAGAGATCTCATAAGAAATAAATCCTTTACCATATGAAAAAGAAAGATTAAATTTTAACTACACCAAAAACCTCAATTTCTTCAATCAGTAAACTATCTATGCAATTAAATATATCATAAAATCCCTTTTCACAATTGTTTTCAAGAAAAAGTCGTGAACCATAATAACATTTGATAAATAATTGATATCCAAAATCAATAAATGTACTATGGTAATTCTCATATATACATCTATTTTCATTGATTAATCTGCCAATCTTCATATTATATATATCTTGATCATTTTCAAAAGAAAAGATAAAACTATTTGAAGAAGATATCCATTTATTACTTCTTAATGCATAGCCGATTGGATTATAACCTCCATAGATTTTCTTTGATTCAACTCTTACCAAAACTACGAATGGACCTTGTCCACTACACTTGTTATTGAATGTCGCACAATCAAATCCATCTCGACTTTTTAAATAAATCAAATTAAATTTATAATTGTTATTAGATGAAAGACTATTTGAATCATTTCTATCGATCCAGTTAGCTACTATAGTTACAAGTTCTGGCTTTATAATTGTCGATGCTGGGTTGATGATTGTTGATGCTGGTCTTCGAGGCGTTATAATAATCGACTTCGGTAAGGTATCTTTATAGTAAAATTCTTTAATCTCTTCATAAAGATTTTTAGGAATAATGGCTTTATAAGGACGGACTTGATCATAAAACTCAGCACGAGAAATTTTCACAAACCGAATAAGTGGAATGAATTGACTTAACGTCTTCTTCAATGCTTCGTAATTCTCTTGATTCCAATTAGCTCTATTACAGTTCATATTTCCCAATCCAGGTGTCTGCTCAATACCCCACTTGATTAAACCATCCCAGATATCAATTTCTTGGATTGCAAAATCATCTCTTTCAAGTAAGCCATAAAGAATACATTTATCAAGTGATGAAAAGTTTTCTGCAGTGATAAATGATCGTGGGTTTGTGCAGATTGACTCAAGACAATAATTTTGAAGTTTCTTACAACTTGCAAGTTTAAATACGGTATTAAGTACTAAAACGAAATTTTGTTGAATCCAACTATTGTATCCTTTAATCAAGTAATCTTGGATATATTCGAATAATTCCTCAAGAAGCAATTCATCTGATGCGATTAATAATCCAAGAATATCTTCAACTGACTGATTGGTCAATACAAGTTCACCCATGTAAATGTATCTTTTTTTTTTTAAAAAAAAAAAAATTAAATTAGAGCGCAAAAAAAATTATTTAACAAATTTATTATATTATCAAAGATATAAGTACTTGAGAATCATATCAAAAACAATTGGAGTGACGTTTGGTTTATTGAATATGATCATATTATCCTTTTTTGCAATCCAACTTGAAGAAAAGGCAGTCTTAAAATATGGAGAGCGTGCACGTAAAATAACTGAATGCGCTCTAAACTCTTTTGTATTTTGATTTTCACCTGCTTGGATGATAACATTAAAATCATCGGAATCATTTAGAATTAAAGAAAGATCTTTTGAAAGACCAGAGTGGAATATTGAATTCATATTCAAAAAAAATTTGAAAATTTTTTTTTTTTTTCGATTATTTTTACGAGAAAGAAAAATGAATTATCGAAATTACGAATTAAGTAATTTATAAATGTAGATTTTGTCAAATAAGCATTTGTATTACACTATTCATTGTAAAACCAATTTTATTGTGTTGTGAAACGATGAAAATATGCAGCAGGACAAAAAAAAAAAAAATAATAAGACCATTTTTAAAAGTATTTTTTTATGTAAGCTGTAATTTATAAAATTTTAGAATTTGAATAAATTTTATTTGGATATTTTAAGTAATAAACTAATGATATTATTACGATTATTAATAGAACTTTTAATGAATTATAATAAAAACTAAACTTTACAATACACACTTATTGTTGGAAAACAAAATTAATAAAAATAATGAAAAAATGAAAATAAAAAAAAATATATATTATCATTGACGAATCTAATAAAAGTAGTGTTTAAGAAATAAATATTAAATTATTAAAAATAAAATAAAAAAAGATACATAAAAACATCAGTCCGAACTTATCAAAGGCGAATCCAAAATGTATATTCGTGCCATTCCATAAAAGTTATACGAATTCCATGGGCGGACATATCGCATGTTAATTCCATTTCAATAAAAAACTAGAATTGTTAAACTTCAAGTGTGAGAATTGGATAATGGAATTTTGCTATTCAGGAATTCTTTAATAAAAAAGCAAATTAAATATGTAAAATAATGTACTGCATATAAAATATTTATAGAATTTGAGAATTATAATAAATATAAATTATATTTTTTAACATTCATGGTCTTTTAAAGGTAAGCAATTCAAGGAAACTCAATTTAGTAAAATATTAAAAAAATGAGAAAATATATATATTATTTGCGCTCTCATCATGTGATGCCAAGAATACAGCCTTATTGGTTTAATTGCTGATGTGATTGGTTACATCCATATTCGTGTTGATATTTTATTCCTGGAAAAAGATCGCCATAATTAACTGCGTCTAAATTGATCGCTGCGCTGAATGACGATCATAATCCAAATCTGGACGAAAATGCTATTTTCAGTCATTTCGGCTATTAGCTAAGAAAACCCTATGAAGGAGAAATTATTATAAAAGAAGGGTGTTTCACCTTGTATTTATTAATAAATAATCATTTTATTTTCCTAATATTTAATTATACATTACAGATAGTTAAACTAATTTACCTATCACAATTAACGTTTTTCGTTTGCATCAAATCACCTCTAATGAAATTAGGAGATAATATGTACGTACTTGAATTTAGATGCAGTTGCATTTAAAGAAGATAATTTGGTAGAAATTCAGGGGAAATAACGAGATATTCAAAATGCTGTTGAATCGATATGGAAGAGTGGGATGCTGAAGACAATAATATAGTTAATTACATGTAAAACTCACGTTATGATAAATTTTGGTCAAGATTCGGAACTTACTGAAATTCAGTATTTCGGAAATTCAGACAGTTTCGGAACTTAAGTATTTTGTGGAAATGAAACTATAAAAAGGGGAAACATTTCGTAAATAGCAAAACAGTTTCACTCGAAACAATTAAAAAATATATATATATTTATATTAGCGTTTGCTTTATATAAAATTAAATAAAGAATAATGCTATCTTTTATAATTTCAATATATTATTAATGCTTTCTATGGATGAATGAACATCTATTAAAATAAAAAATTTGAAAAGCTGGTGAATTAAATCAGCTGCTGTAATCTCTATAATTATGATGAATTGCTTTACCTTAATTACATTATCGCTAAGTAATACTGAAGAACAATAAACTTATTGTGATAATCGCCTTCAGGATCATCTCGAACATTATTTAATTCAATGCAGAAACTTAAAACTAAAAGTTATTATAAATCGTGTATTTCTTGACTACATTTGGAATGATTTTTAAGAGTCTTCCCCTTTTGACTAAATATTTCACAAAATTATTACCAGCATGTTCCTGCCTATCTTCTTTTCTAACCTATCAAAAATCTACTTGTATTTATACATATGCAAAGTCGTGTTGAAATTACTGCATTTACATTAAAATGGATTGTACGGGATTTCGTCCCCCCTGCTTTTTAGTATTAGGTTGAATTATGCTATTATTTTATTTAATATTTGGTATTTAGTAATATAATGATTAATTGATTTTAAATTATTTGGATAAAAGAATTCTTTAATCATTGATTCAAGAGTTGTACTTTTCTTACACGTGTGCGTTTGTTGGTATATTTTTTGCTTTTTATCTTTACGAGTCATTGTGTCTAATTTTCGTAGTTTTTTTCGTTGCAAATCATATAAGTTCTGGAAGATAGAGGAAAGAGAGGATGAGACCTCATTTTATGTAAAATTTCGATCATTTAAATAATTCAGTACTTTTTAGCTGATTTTGATTTAATATATAAATAACAAATTTGTTTCGTTGTCAATATTATACAAAAAAAATGCCTAGAGAGAAAAAAAATATTGTATACGCCATGACTATCATGACAATTCACAACCTAACTCAAAAAACGTTAGAAAAGAACGAAAGTTGCATGAGTTACATATAATTGTGATGAATAGATATGTTATTGTGCATTAGTTGACAACATACACACCTTATGGCAGATAACATAACAGAAGCTCAAATTTTATCATTATTAATGATATATTTATTGATGATTCTTTAGACAATATAAGAAGTTTCAACTAAAGATATTTGTGAAGAATAATGATATGCAACAAACTTCAAGTATCTTAGTAAGAATATCAAGAGGAGAATTGAGCAAACCAGCAAATTTCTGGTGCAGATATCGAATAAGAAACGCAAGACCAATTACTTTTAAAGATTTAAAAATAATTGAAAGTGAATTTCAAAGATGATACTGATTGGAACAATATTAAAATACTGAAATATATAAGGATTATTCAACTCCTTTAATTACAATGTTTCAAGAGCAATATTTGATTTAAACGAAAAAACTTACTTATTATTAGCTTATTATCTGATCAAAATGAAATAAGTTTACATAAAATAAATTCTTACTTGACGCCAATTGTCAATGTTTTTAAATTATTCTGGGATAATGTTACATTAAATTATTTATTTAAGCATCAAGAAGGAAGAAACTTCCTGTTGCAAGAAAAATATATGAATTTTATGCTATTAAATATGATTATAAGACTAGTAAAGAAATTAATTATCAAAAAAAGTTACATCACAATAAACATACTTAGCTAATAAAAAATTTTACTAAAAATATATTGAGTCAAATCAATTTAATAAAATATAATAAAATGATACTTTTAATTTTATATATAATATTTTATTATAATAATTATTTTACAATATTAATTATTTTAAAAATAATGCAAATATGAAATATCTAAAATTTCACTATTAAATCTTTTTTGCAAAAATGCTTTAATACTTAAAATTTTTATACTTTGAAGTATCATTACATTATTATTATAAGTTAATTATTTGTCAATTATTTCTAAAATTTACATTGAATATTTTAATTTATATTTGTTAATTAATATTACACAAAAATTTAAGAATATTTGCTAATTTAATTGCTTATTTTATTAATAAGCATAATATCTAAAAATATAACCAAATAAAATTCATTTAATATAATTTAATACTAGGGAACGGGATCTGTTCAAAGTCTAAAGCACGGTATAATATATAAATTATAATATCATATTTCACATGATTAATTATTTTGTAACATAAAAGTCATAACACATGATAATGTAAACAAAATGTCATTGGTTATCAGGCTTGCCAAATTTGGATGGACAGAATGACCTTGTATTTAAATGATCTAGAAGTAAAATATCCTCTGCTATGCTTTGGATAATAAATAATATTTTTTATTGTTAAAATTTTTCTATAGCCTATTTTTAATAGTATAGCTCTTATATTTTATATTTCAGAATTTTTTTCATATTATTAGTATAAAAAATATATAATATAAGAATCAAAATATAATTTACTAGTATACCTAGTATGAATAATATAAATAAATAGTTTATTTTCAGAAATTTGACTAATTATTATGTGTTAGCTATTGGTATCATATGATATACTTAACCATATAGTCAAGTGACTTCACCTTATAAAAAAATCCTTTTCCTCTAATAATTATCAAAATAGGCATAGAATGCCTTATAAAAAACAATGCAGATGAACCTTATTACTCCTAATCATATTTAACCAATCTGTCTTGTCTTGCATATGTCTTATTTATCTGTCTTATAATAAACTAATAAACTAGAAAAATAAATATAAAAAAAAAGATATAACAGATAGTAAAAAATAATAATAAGACAGATAAGATAGATAAGACAGATGATTTATAAAATATTATTAAAATATCATTTCCAAAAATAGTTTTTATTTTAGGATATCAAATTCGTCTCATTTGACTTAATCACTCTTAATTATCAGAATGTAATCCCAATCTAATTACAAGCAACTCTAGCTATAAAGCATACATTTACAATATATTTATGCTTCCCTATATTATACTTATATCATATGCAAATAGTTAAAAAAAACAGCATACCTAAGGTAGGTGGTGTATACCAACTGATGACAATGAATAACATACCAGTTTTTTACTTAATGTGTTTTTGTGAAAAAAAGCAAACCATTTGGTAAAATGTGAGGGTTACTTTGCTAGATATTTGTATAAAAAGGATAATCCAAATTAAAATAGAATGCACATATAAGGCTAAATTATACACCAAATTTGAGATTTGATATTTTCACAAATATCTTTCCAATCTGCTTAATATTAGGTACATAAATAGTATAAGGTATAGGCTATCTAATAAGCTACAATACATCATCGAAAACAAATCAGTAAATCCTAAGATAACATAGTCAAAAAATTTTAATCAAATAAAGGGTTTGTATAAATATCTTGAGAATACTCGACTAACAATTGAACATAACTGAACTTAAGATATTATTAGAAAATTTTAACTATTTATTTCTCATTCAATAAAAAGAAATAAATAAAACATGGGATAAGGAAATTGATTTTGCATTAAATGTTTGAAAAACCAATATTTTGAATGTTTCTAAAATTTTGCACTTGTAGTATTTGTTGAGATCGATTTTTCAATCCAAGTAACCCACTCATTCATTTTATGTAGATTATTGAACTGAATAAAAATTTCTTGAAGGTAAAATAAAATGCAATCGGTAAATCAGTAATTCATGCATGATTAAACTAAACTTTTCTAAGCCATGAAGTATCTCTGTGAAATTTTTTTTTTTATATTGATCTTCCAAAACAGTTCCTTTTTATTAACAGTTAGGGTATTACTTACAATCATATAAATGGGAAATATATAAAAGTGAGACAAAAAGTAAAGTAATACAATTAAATAAAAATGTAGAAATACTAACAAATAGCCAACTCCAAGTTAACAATAAAAATTCACTGCTATAATTAAAGAAATATTTATATATAGAAACATTTACCTATTTAACCAACCTAAAAGAAGTCTTCTAAAAAGAGTAAAAATTATTATAAAATAATTAAATCAAAAAAATGGATCCTACTTAAGAAAAAGTTAAAGAACTGAAAAGGATACGTATGTTTTTTGAAATGAAACTAAAAAAAAAAAATTATCAACAGAAAAATAAGTCAAACTTACATGATTATCTAGAATGAAACTAAAGGAAAGAAAGTTTTTGGAGAATTAAATTGCTGCAATATTTTTAAAACCAAGTTTTTTCACGATGTAACAAAAAGAAAGATATATACAGAACCTTCATTAGTATGCAAAGTTTATATGCATAAGTCATAAATTATATGATTTGATTATGCATATGCTATAAGAACGTCGTCTTTGCAAGAAAGTCTTGCGCAAATTTAATTAAGGATAATACATCGAATCGATTGACAATAAATTTGTGGTCTAAATATTTGAGAATGATATTTACATCATATACCAAATAATAAAACAACTAGTCAATTGGATCATACTCATTTTATTCTGCACTACATTAATTTTTATGTACTAGTTTGCTGGCACCAGTCAATATTGAATCATTTTATTTATAAATCAATACAGCGTAAATAACATGTAAAAATTTTTCAATATAAACAGCAAGAAACTTTTCACCATAACAACCTATAAGATATACTAAGCGATTGAAAATTTAATCTAGACTTCCAGCAAAAAAAAAAGATAGATGTAATCAATCGTTTTTAGACCTTTTCACCATTTTGTCCAAGTAATTAATGCATCAAGAATCTTTTGTAGCGGAACCCTGAAAATTTTCAACTCGTTTGGAAATGCGGTTTCGAGATGTCTTCTTGCTTGGTCCAGAGTCTGCACATTATCTTGATGAAATTCTATATTACCTGAAATTTTCAATCTTAATAATAGTTCAAATTCTACAATTGTTATATTGACACCATTTAAAATATTTTCCAATTTTGAAATATATTCATGATCTTCCTTCCTAAAATCTACCTTGCCCCACATAATTTTAACTTTAAAAGCATTCTTACTTTAGCCCAATTATTAAGGCCCAACCTTTCTTTTATTAAACTATTAAAGATGGAAACCTTGTCCCTATATAGCAAGACTTCTTTTATTTTTAATAAACTTAATACTTCTTCCGTGAGAATGAAAGTATTGTTTGTAAGTTTGTTTTTTTGTTTCGAAATATCAAGTACAATTCTTGGGCGAGACATTATTTTGAGCCAAGGCTTCTCCATTAAATCTATGCCGCATCCTTTAATAATGCTTTTTTATGGAAAGTTAAAGACTTCTCAAGAGATAAATTTTTATTTTTACAGGTATTCAAATTATTATGATACTCAGTGAAAATATCATGATAGAAAAACGATTACGGTGGATTAAAAGAAAAAATGTTGCTCAAGAAAGCTTTGAAAGTGAGTGCTTGAAAGTTTAAGACGTGTCTATAAAAAAATAACGTTTTATATGATGACCGAATTTAGTGATCGTACTTATAGCAAAGCCACATTTATAATTGATAATTATCATATGATTTACAGTACAGTATTTATAGTGATGTGTGGTTTCGAGCCGTAATCGAGTTTTAACAAAAATGATATGAAAGAAGCCGAAATATCTCCGAACGAAATATTAAAAGATTTTTTTTTTGTATGTGGTAGTGATGCGACGTAATGACGGGCGGAGGAACATACTTCTCCTTTTCAAAGAAAGACTAAATAATTTTAACGTCAAATAAATGATTTCACATGGTGTAGTGGCAATATATCATTTCTAAATTTCTTAGTTAGTTAAATCAACCGTGTCGTTCGAGTTTTAATTCGGTCAGGATTATAATTTAAAGACACGAGTTCCAATTTAAATACAAACCGGTGAGTTAGGGCTTGTATTTGCTTGACTTTGCTTGCTGTAATTTTTTTTTATAAAATATTCTTTTCGAAGAGAAAATCTTCCATCATATGAATTGTTCAGCATAACAAAGTTTTGATATAAAAAGTGCAAATGTCAATGAATTATTTTCTGTTGTGTGAAATTAAGAATTTAATTCTTTATATTTGCAAATATGAGGTAGCATCTTAAGATACTTCACGTGTGAGTTCTTGCATTAGATTTTGCAAAGTCCTTTCTTGCAGATGATAAATATCAACTATTTCATGAAGTATATTTTCTATATATCCTTGTCTTATCTCATTTTCTATCCTTACATATCAACAAATTCAGGGAATCATCAACTTATTTATGGCTCAGTTTTGATTACATTATCAGATACATTCACTGAAACTTTTATTATTAACGACAAGTTCTGTAGGCTGATCGTGATTGCAGACCAGAAGTTTACATTAGCCGTATTACCACACCACACATGAGATCCCCACAACATTTGATGTTTTAAAACAAGAAATTGCCTTCAGATGTAAATGATCTGGTGCAATGATTTGAAGGTAACTACGTTCATAGAAAGATTCGACGAGAAATGCGAAATGGTCTTGTAGTTCGTTCTGCACCTCTTTTTCTGACACAATTATGGTCAGTGATGACTTTATCGAAATTGAAGTTTCGAGGACTCGAAATATTGTCGAGGTATAGCACTGTTGTTGATAAACTCTGGTTGGTGGATCCCATGTAGGATTTTACAATATTATTAATGAGAACATAAGCAGTATTCTCCGTGGAGAATAACGAAAGAAGCATAAAAGAGTTTTGATTGAAAGAAAAATTAGGATTATGAACAATTAAGGTAACCGAAGATGGAAATATTATCGTGACACAGAAATCATTATCAAAATACTTAAATTATAATAAAAATAATTTATCGCTATCCAAATAAAATATGTATTTCTAATTTTCTGAGTTAATATTTGGCATTTCGTATCACATGTTTCATGCAATATATTTTATATTATTTAAAATATTATGAAAATTAATAGTAATGTTGAATTAGTATAGTGGTAACAGCGTTTGGCATGTTGCTTATAATATAAGAGTATCTCAGTAAACATGTCTTGCGTTCGAGTACTTGCTGTACCAATTTCCAAAAAAAAAATATTTTTTTTAACCCCTTTTTATCAATAAAAAGTTTCAATATCTTTGCAATTTTGCAGTTTGGAATTTGTAGCATAGAAGCGTGTTAAAAGAAGTTAGTCCAAAAGTACGCGTCATTTTCAAATATAATTCAAATAAATTCAAATAACTGTCACCATCAGCACAAACAATAACATTATCCAGTAAAAGGGAACAAAAGTCTTAACTCATCAGAAATACACTCATTGGAAGTATGGAGAGAAGTATGCTCTTTTAAAAAAAAGCTTTAACTTGTCACAAGATAAACAAACACAGTAATATTTTGACTAAAACCTTGAAGGTTAATTAATACATTTGATCTATCGTTTCTCTGAAATGTTGAAATTTATGAGTTTATTCTTTTTATAAATAATATAATTATGCACTCTAGCTGGAACCATTTGAAAATACTTTATTCTTTTATAAAACTATCAGCGAAATTACAGCACCGTAACATTTTGACGTCATTTCCCAATTGTTCATAGGAATTAACAAAGGACTTTTTGTCATACTTAAAACTGTACAGATCAATCAGTAAAGAGAGAGGGTGTCAAAATAAAGAGGCAACAAGATGTTTCTGCTCTTTCAATCAATAACACATGTCACTCAGAAAAAAATGAAGAAAGGTATTTTCATGCTGCTGTGCAATCTAAATTCTGCCAAAATTATTCCTTCACCTCGAGATATATCAAGGATGTCTTATATGAATAATGAATATTTAACAAATGAAAAGTTGAATACCAATAATGTGCAGCCGAGAATTTGATTGCAAAAAAGATGATTAATTCATTAATGTTAATGGCATCTTTTTCAAGCAATTTACGGCCTTAATATTCAATAAATGTATATTACGTTTATTGCAATCATTTTTTTTTTTGTGATGTAATGATCATGTTGAAATCATCGAAGTAAAGTAATTAATATATTGTTTATTGATTTTGATTAGAATTTTTTCATATTTATAATAAAGATTTATCAATTAATAGACAGAGTCGATTGTTGGTTCAGAAAGAAAGGTGGCGTAAAGACTTATTTTGGTAATATTAAAATTACAATTGCATATAAAATGAATGAGAAATAGAAAATGACAAAGTATTTGAATGGTATAAAAAAATCGGCTAATCAAGAAGTGGCGAAAAATGAAAAAATTGCAGAATAATATAATATTTAGGTAATTTTCATAGATATGGATTGGGAATTGACAAGAATAAAGGTAAAACATCAGAATGATATAAAAATTGGCTGGACATCATACTTGTATGCATATAATTATTTAAAACTAAAAGTAAAATTTAGAATCTATGGAGGAGAATTAATAATCATTTTAAAATAGTTTATGAGTCGATTTGATGTCGATTCAAAGTTAAATAAATAAAAAAATAATTTATATTGATAACTTTCCGAGAACATAACAAACAAGCAAATACAAAAATTGTATTAATTAATGTATTATTATGTGAATTTCGAAAGAATAATATCGCGTTCTATTTCAAAATACCTCAGAAAAAATAATGTTTTTATCCCAATACGAATGATTTTCATAATTTGTTGTTATCTCCTATTTTCGTAAGGCAGGTTTTACTTCAATTTTGGTTTCTTTGGTTCGTTTCTTTTCTTTTAATTTTTTTCATTGCCCTATGAAAAATGAATGTCCGAAAAATGTCAACGAAAAAATTATTTGATATACGTTTTACTTATATAACCGTGTAACATTCATGTTTATATTGAATTTCGCTCATTTTACATCATTAGATTTTTATGAATTGTCACCACGTAATCGAAATATACAACGCTTTGACATCATTCGTATAAGAATTACACGATAGTCGGTTAAAAAGGTATTACAATTCTCCTTTTTTTTTACTTCTCTCATATCAAAAAGGAATAATACGATAATTATTTACTTACATTTTTATGTTTCCTAGGAAAAGAAAGTAAGTAGTAAAGACATCATTTGAACCCTTTCCTTATCCAGATAGTCGCTGCTAACTGATTTTTCTTTTATCTAAGTTTCTCTACATGATTAAATAACCCACCGAAAAAATGAATGAAAAAGCTAGTGAAAAAGTTTCTAAAACCGTTGAGGTAATATAGACAGCATTTTTTTTTTAGGAAAAAAAAACATATTATTTTTAACAAACCTATTTCCGTAGGACTCTGCCACACAGCGAAGATGGGAAAAAGGTAAATCCCAAGGGAACATTTATAACATACGGCCTTTATCCACCGATTCTCATAAGCAAAAGCTGGGACGCGCTTTATCTTTTGTGGACTGTCCATGTCAGGCTTCCTGTCAGGAAAGCGTCACTCGAGAATCACAAGATGTATCTCACAATGGAGCTGAGAGTTGGGAGGAAGCAAATTATGAAGTTGGAAACAAGAAAGTGTTAACGTCCACGCATGATAAATCTTACATATACAGTACAAGACAACAAGATAAAGGGATTCATGGCCGGAGTCTCAGTTCGCTTAACACCAGCCAAACCGCCAATATTAACGAGGTCGATGATTTCAAAAATGGTAGAGAAACTAGCAAGGTCGAGATTCAAGAGTATGAAGATATTTCAACGGGTGAATCTTGCTCTAACAGAGCAAGAAATGTCAAAATGCAAACATCCTTGGGGAAACTGCTCCGAATCGGTGCCGTGGGAGGTGTTGAAGGGACAAAATGGACATCATGTAGATTTGTACAGCCGTACTACAGAATTGGAAAAGATGGTAGTCAAAAACCTATGTCCAATATGTCGGAGGGTGGCACACACATTGAATCTCATAGGCATTTCAACAATTCACCTGTGGTGATCGAAATCATTGCGAATGAGTCCAGACGTCGCCAAATTGCAGATTCACTTGGTCATGAGCCCTGTGAAGTTTTAAATCTTACCAAATGTATGGATGCAAAATCAGAATTTAGCACTTATTTTGACGAGGTCCAAACGTTTGGCTTTAACCATATCATACTCATTGGAGAACGTTATTGTGGAATAACTTTTTTAGATTGCTATGGTCGCGTTTTTGAGTTAGATAGAATGTCTTGTGTGTTGTGGCCACTCGGAAGTTCTTTGGAAGATATGGAAACAAACTCCTGGACTGGCGAGTTGGCATGGGATGTTGATATTGATGATGGGATTATTTTTGAACTCGAATATTGTATGTGTACAAATCTTTAAATTTTTTTAACATAATTTTGCATAACTAGTATCATTTTTTTCAGATACATCTGAAGCAGAACGTAGTACACACGTCTTTGACAACTCTTCGGAATCTGAGGAACTTGCGAATGACAATAAGAAAGCCTATAAGAACAAGAATAAGAACAAGAACAAAAAAAAGAAAAGCAAGAAAAATAGCACTGTTTTTTAAAAATTCTAGCTTAGTACACTAAATCCTTTAAAAAAAATTATTTACATATCATTTGCTTTATTTTTTCATTCTAGAAATCAAATCACAATTATTTATATCAAATCTTAAAATATTTTACAACAAATAAATAAATCATGATTGTTTTGCTCACAATTATATTAAAATAAAATATTATATCTTTATTACTTCGGCCTATTAGAAGTCAAAAAGACGTACTTTATCGATTTTATAATATAATAAAGAAATTATCCCAAATATATAATTCCATATAGAAAAAATTACGCGCCTATATAAAAATTAAATTAATTAATTAAACCAAGACCATGTTCATAAGTATTTTTCAAATATTTTTATATTGCGGATTTTTGATTATTTGAAGAACAATAAATTAATTTTAAAGGCTAACTGATATGTTTGTGTAGTTATATATTCGGATAAAATTCTTATCATAACGAAGATAATAAATGAAACAAAATTTATAACAAGAATGGAAATCATAGCAAAAACCAGAACCAATTAGATATTTATGTCTTTTCATACTCGGTTATGTTTATAATTTCAATCAAATTTTGAAATAAAGGTTAGAAGTAGATTTAATTGGCGATCGAACCAAAAAAAATCACACGTAAGTTAAAAAAAAACTAGTAATTCGGGCCCGGCGACCGAAGTTCGCCGGTATTCCGTATACTATTAAAATTCATGTTCGGATCATATGATTAACTATGTCTCATAACCTAATTTTAGCAGCATACGACCTATATAGTAAAATGTATATAAAAAACTTTTTATAAATTTTAAAACTAATTAAGTTTTTGTGTTTTAGTCTACACAAGATAGTAATCATTTATTAAAAAATATAACTTATTAGCATTCAAATGTAATAAAATTTGGAAATAATTTTAAAAGTAATACGATATGATTTTATGCTAAAATACATGTTCAATTTCGAAATTGACGAGCAAAATATTCATTTTTACCTAAACAAAAAGGCTAGCTTCCATTTTTTTTGGCTCCTAATCGCCATTTCTGTTCAGGTAATAGAGAAACTTTTTTCTATGAAAGTCATTTATTCTTTTAATTCCATTTTACTATCAAAATCACTTTCTATTTGAGTTGATTATATCAATATCATCATAACATTCCAATTGTACAGGAAAATATTGAATAATTATTTGACCATTTTCTTTGTGGTTGCTTTGCAATTTTTTTCGGGTTCGGACACTATTGCTTATGTATCGAAGTGGTTGATATTTTTTGAATCAGAAACAAGTAAGTATTTTAACGTATTTTCGGGTTCATATTCAAGTTCAGAGAATCTTCAATAATAATCGGCTTATTCCTCGAAGATATTTGTATTAATGTTTTTTATGCTTTTACGTGTGCCATTCGGTGAAGTTTGATTTACATTTTTTTTTCGCACCCTTTTTATAAAATGTTGTGTTGTGTAAATTATGCACCAATAAAAAATTTAGTAAAAAAATTAGGAGCCGTGCCATTTTCCATTAAATTTCATTAAATCTTTCATTAAAACATTGAAAAAAAAGAGGCGCGTAAGTTGAGTTAATTGCGCACAAAAAGAAAAACGCCTATTTAAACTTTATTTTTAGATCAAAAGTTATTCTCTCGATAAAGTTTAGTTTTAAAGCGCCGACTTTCCAGAATAGCACGTGATCCAGTCATATTGGCCAATCATATTCATTTACTTAAGGTACAAAATTTATAGATTGATATGAAATACTTATTCCTCTCTTAAATTATAAGTCACAAATAGCATAAATATAAAGAGGGTTTATTAAAAATGTTAATACAGTCCCAGCCAAAAGTAATGGCGGTTGGGATAATACTTAATTTTTTAATTGTAATATGGGGTGAGTGCTGGGAAAAGGGACCAAATCGACAAAAAATTTTTTTTTGAAATAACAAATGATCTGAATCAGATGACCAAATCTACATCTATTTTACTTAGAAACTTTTTTTTAAAAAAAAAATCAATTTGGTCCATTTTCCCAGCACTTACCCCATATAAGTCACTGCCCTAATCTTGCTTTTATATTCGTTGGAATGCTCTCGATGAGACGGTTCTAATGATCGTATTTCTATCGAAATGTAATCATTAGGTCGAAAGTTATTTCATTTAACAGTACGTGTGTATCAGAAACATACTGTTTCCTTTCATCTTTTGTTTTGCATTGCTGCTATCCTTCAGCATTTCTGAGATGTTCTTCAAGGTCTCGTTCTTGAAACCAATCATCTATATCTTCAAACCCATCAAAATTTGGTTTTCTACCTCCTGTATTTGCACGTTTGTAGTATCGATGGTAGCCAATTAATGCCGATATATGACTGCATAATTTTCTAGCAACTGAATATTATTTGAGTAACAAATAACAGCTAACTTAATTCTTTTTCCATTCAGAAATTTTGTTGAGATTGATATAAAATATTCATTACACAATTCTAATAATTCATCCACTATTAGGAAAAGGTAGTGGTTTATCGATGTAACTTTACCTCTTTAGGATCTAGTAATAGTCCAAGTATCAATATATTTTTCTTTTTAAATTGAACTTCACATGAAAGATTACATATAATACTATATATGATGTCACAACTATATACTGATGACGTAAATGGTTAGAACCAATTGAGATTTATCATAATTCCTAAATGGGAATCAGCAATTTCTGATGTAAAAAATCGCAAAGAATCAGGTGTGTCAATTTGTGATAGGAAAGTTTTTCAAATTTCTCCGTCATAAATATTAGTTATCAGTTTAGTATCATTCTGATTGGTCTATTTTTTTAAAAGTGATTTAAATCCTAGTCGCTGATACATTGTAATCAATTGAGCTTTCAAAAATGGCAAGGGAAAAATCATTTTTGGTTTTCTAATGTAACCTTTAACTATCGATATTTGTTTTGTTATTTCTGTTCTATAAGGACTCCTCTGACCTTTTTTCAGATGATTTGAAATTCCACATGGATGCATTTAAACCCATTATTTGACTGATCATTCACATTTTTTTGCAAAATTTCTGAAATTTTATATGATTTATTGCAATCTGGACATATTACATATATCTTTGCTTGTTTATCAATTTCTATCATTTTTTTACCATATAAGAACTTGTAAGAAAGTCTTTAAAGCGTGACTGATCAGCATCTAATAAAACTATATTAAAAAACTTAATAAGTGAATCAATAGCAACGTCAGAAAGGCGAAATCTTGCTTAAAACTTGAATATTCATAACAATATCCACAGATCATTAAAGTTAACATTCATATCAGGATATTCATGATCTAATTCATCAAGATCATCAAAATCAGAAGCAGTAAATCATTCAAATGAAACATCATCTTCACTTAACTCATGATCATCATCACTAAACCTGTGATCATCTTCTGTTGTAGACATATCATCAACTTCTTCTTCTTCTTCGATTAGAATTGGTTCTAATTCATCATAAATAGGATCACAAAATTTATTATATCGTTTTTGTTTCTTTTGTACATCAATTGGTTCTTCATTAATTAGAATTAGATCATCACTAAAATAATCATTAGGTGAATTTTGATATCAATCAACCGATTTGATTCTTTCTTTTCCTTTTAAAGTTGATGATGTTTTTATATTAATCTTATTGCTTCTAATTCTTCTTGATCAAGTAGAATGCTGAGATTCAGAAGTAATAGCATGAAATCTTTCTAATTCTTGCTGGTGTTTTCTAAATGTTCTAGAATCAACTAATTTACTATTACAGCAATAAAATACATTTGCATTCAACCAAATGCCTAGTTTTAGGAATATTACAATCTTTTGCAAAACCTTTATTATCAGATTTCTTTGATCTTAACATATTTGTAGTTTTAGAAATAATATTGCGATCTTTCGTGTTATCTTTATAAAAATGGGTTCTTTTTGATCTTGTCATATTTGTTGAAAAAATTTAGAGAAAGAAAAAATATTTACCGATTTATATCGATAATTGGGTCTTATTTATAT